AAATAATTCTGAAATTTTAACAAGACACTGTGACCAGTACAGTCCGAATGTGTCGAGTATGAGGTAGTTTCTGACTGAAAATAATCGAAGATAACTACGTAGTATCGCGAACTGACTGACGCTCAAAGTATACACCCTTATATGTCGGCTCATTGGTCCTGATGTCAGGCGCTCAATGAGAGACTAGGGCTCTTCGGTTTTATACCCTATAGGTTTTGTGGATATACGCTGCTGGGAAGTCCCACACTGTGACAAAGTAGACGTCCAGTACTTCGAGGTCTCTAACTGTTGTGGATGTTAGATTCTCAGAACTCGCTTCATAAATGACTTATTTTGGATTTCATGTTTGCGAGGAAGATACATGGCTGTGATTGACTGTTGTGTATTTTGGTGTGCTATTTTCGTAACTGCCCCAAGGACGTTTCTATGATGTATAAATAAACGAGAGTTGTGTGCTTGATTGTATTGTGATTGCTGGGTGTTGTAGAATATACTTTCTACGCTTACAAAGACTTCTATCTACAACTTGGCATTCAAGGTAGCCTATCTGTACGCTGATAATTGTCTTGTTCGCGTTTACCGATTAAGGTGAACTCGTATTAGCTTCAAGCGTACCTAGTGACGAACGTAACACTAAACAAATGCGTGAGTTTGGTCATTCGTAAGATCAAGTCTTAGAGACATTATTTTAAATTTGTTATATTTATTGAATAATGAATATTAGTGAAATCCAATTCTTATATTTAATCCTACATGAAATTTGTCAACTGTGTTCCTATTGTGGTGCACGCTACTTATAAGTAGTATATGACGTGAGTGCAAACGTAATGTCTGGCAGCAAAAGACGGGGGAAGATCAAGAAAGGAAGAAGAATGGGAACACAATGGAATTTGTATGAAACACATGAATAGTGAGTGAAATGTCAAACAATGGATTGATGATGGATTGAAGATTTGCAAATTAACGATTTACGATATGGTTTTCCTATTTTACTGAGTAACTCTTTAATTTTCGTTAAATACAATTCGGTTGCCCTCACCTGTGTTCTCCTTCACTACGCTATTACCACGAATACAAACGTATTATCTACTAATTTACTATGTCACAGTAACCCTTAACTCATTCAATCTGTACATTACTTGCTTGTATTTTTAAGGATTGTCATTTTTTTTACCTTGTTGAAATTCTCCACTACACCAGAATGAGTTAGTCTTAACTTTTACCATCTTTGACAGGACGGCGCCTCTAGTCAAATGATGATTAGATAAGAGCTAACGACAACACAGTTCTAACCCTGGAAAAAGTCATACTGATTATGATAATACAGTTAAATATTTATATAACTTATATATAATTGACAGTTGACTAGTAATACACACAATCATATAACATTGAGAATGGATTCAGTGTTCAATAGTTTATACTTGATAGAATAAAAAAATATGCGTGTAAGTAATCTTTCTTTTCTCCAAAACAGAAAAAAAATTTACAATGATTATCATCATTGTATTATCTATTTTTTAAAGTTTATTTACTCTTTCTTGTTACATTGTAAACTGTTCTGTCTATAATGTCTATATAATTCAAGAGAAAAAAACGCTAACACTAACACTTTTGTTTAAACACACTGCCCTTGAATCTTTCCCTTTTATCTATCAGTTATTCTGTTAAGCAAATAGAGAAAAGCAAAATAAAAACCTGTTTTTCCCTAAATGGAAATGATCGACATGTTAATATTGAACAACAGACATGCGAAAATGTATCAAAACAACATTGAACATTGATGAATGATGTATGTGCTTTGAATAATTTCAATGAAAGAATGAACATTCACTTTCACAATGGACTATTGTGATGTGAGCTACTTATAAGTAGTATATGACGCCAGTGTCAACGTAATGTCTGGCAGCAGAAGATGGGCGAAGATCAAGAAAGGAAGAGTGGGAACACCAAATGGAATTTGTATGAAAGAACACAATGGAATTTGTATGAAACGCATGAATAGTGACAATGGATTGATGTTTTGCAACAGGAACAGTCCAGTTCGATGTGATGAACTGATATTTTGCAAATTAACGATTTACGATATGGTTTTCCTATTTTACTGAGTAACTCTGTAAATACCGTTAAATACAATTCGGTTGCCCTCACCTGTGTTCTCGTTAACTACACTATGAGAATATATTCCATTGTAGTTCAGTAGAAAGGAAACTAAAAGGTGGTTAAGAGTTATTATATCCTTATCAATTCTAATCATTCAAATGACCCGCATATTGATGCTAATATTGTTTATGGAATTTTGATTAAATCAATCAACAATTCTTTGAAACAGCTGAGAGTTTTACGATCTATGAAATGTAACAGGGATTTTGTGTACATAACAGATGTACTTTCAAAGCTTGTGATTATCGTGACCTTAAACTATTATGATTAGTATATTTTACGATCGAAATTATTCCCCTCTCTCTGTGTCTCTGTCATTATTTCTCGTATTATCATGATTTTGTCTGTAATTATGTTTGACATTATTTCATTTTGCTTAATACCTCTGTAATGTGTTTAATTATTATGACGAAAACTATTTGAATGATTTAACTCCATTTACATTACACACTTCCCATTGGTAGATAATTAGTTTCTATGTCGTTTAATTTATGGTTATTATTTGCAGCAAATAGCCTAGTAGAATAATGGTCCTTTTTGGTCAGTCAGCCAAATCACACTTGAAGGAGATTCTTTGGAGGACGTTGATATCTTTACATATCTTGGCAGCGTCATCGACGAGAAAGGTGGATCCGATGTAGATGTGACGGGGCGGATTGGGAAAGCAAGGGCTGCATTTTTACGATTGAAAAATATCTTGAACTCCAAATAAATATCAATCAACACCAAAATTAGGATTTTCAATACAAATACAAACTTGGAGAACTACGAAAGCCATCATCCAGAAGATACAAGTATTAATGAACAGTTGTCTACGCAAAATACTTCGGATTCGTTGGCCAGATAACAGTTGGTCTCAATATACACAAGGGAGAATACAAGACTATTCGACACAACACAACATACACCAATCAAATCACACTGGACCTGAAGCTTTGGAGGATGTAGAAACCTTTACATATATGGATAACGTCATCGATAAAGAAAATGAATCTGATGCAGATGTGAAGGAGAGGGTTGTCAAAGCATGAGCGACATTTCCACAATTAAACAACATCTGGAACTCCAAACAACTATCAACTAACACCAAAATCAGAATTTTCAACACAAATATCAAGACCGTTTCGGCTGTATGGGTGGAAACTTGGAGAACCACGTAGTCTGTCATCCGGAAGATACAAGTGATAAGTCACAGTTGGCTACTCAAAATAATTCGGATTCGTTGGCTAGACACCATCAACAACAACCTACTGTGGGAGAGAACAAACCAGATTCCAGTGGAGGAGGAAATCAGGAAGAAGCGGTGGAAGTGGATAGGACACACACTGCGGGGAGCACGCAACTGCGTAACAAGACAAGCTGTCACATGGAATCCTTAACGTGAAAAGAAAATAAGAAGGCCAAGAAACACATTAGGCCAAGAAATAGAGAAAGATATGAGAGGAATGAACGAAAACTGGTAAGAACTGGAAAAGGAAGCCCAGGACAGAGTTGGTTGGAGGAAAGTGGTGGGCGGCCTATGCTCCATTGGGGGTAACAGGCGAAAGTAAGAAAGTATGCTTGTTTATTCAATGTACAGACCTTCTAATAGAATTGGATAGTGAAGAGTTTTACAGCTCATTATTATTTCTTTGAAGAGAGATTGTTTAGCTGAACTTCTGGTTTTTATATGTTGCTATTACTCGTCACTATCCGGTAAAACAGCTATGTATATTACTATCAATATGTTTCTGAATAGATAACTTCTAGGATGTGTAGATTAGAAAACTAAGAATGAAGAACTCCACAAGTGTATTCATTAAATGAACTTCGTTTTTGCAGCGAAATTTCCAGGAAAATTGAGTAGTGAGATTAATTTTGAAAGTATATAAACTCATAGTAATTATGGTTGCATTGCTATAAGCATTACACTGGTAATGTTGACTTTTCAATGAGAAACTGGAAGGAAGTTTATCAGCCTAATGCACGTTAGGATAACTAGTAGTGTAGTGCACTAAGTAGATCACCAAAACCTTTACTAAAAATTTAACTGAATAATGACCAAGATGTCTGTCCTAGTGATAAAAATTAGTAAAAATGACTTAATACTCTCACTATGATTTAGTTGTAAACATTTCATGTTTTTTCATAAGTTTGATATTATACGCGCTATGCATTTCAAAAAAATATCATTTCAACGTAATGAGTTTTAGCGTTCAACGTGAAATCTTGACATGGAAAATAAACGTTTAGCGACAACTAACTCGTAGGCTTTAGCTCAAACTGGATATTGATTTTTATCATAAACTATAGTCATTTTAAATATACTTATTGTAAAGCGGAACACATTACTCCGAGAAATAGACATGAAGACATGAGAAGAATGAAAAAAATAACTGTAAAGAACTGGAAGGGAAGCCCAGGATTGAATTGGTTGGAGAAAACTAGTCGGCGGCCTATGCTCCATCGGGGGGGGGGGGTAACAGGCGCAGGTAAGTAAGTAAGTAAGTAAGTAAGTAAGTAAGTAAGTAAGTAAGTGAGTAAGTGCATAAGTAAGTAAGTTCATAAGTGCATAAGTGCATAAGTAAGTAAGTAAGTAAGTGCGTAAGTGCGTAAGTAAGTAAGTAAGTAAGTAAGTAAAGCAGAATCAACCTATGATCTTTGCACGCTTAGTTTAGGATGTACAACAAGTAAAATAGTATTCTGATTTCTGTCAGTTATCTAATTGGTATCAATTGTGCTTATATATATATATATATATATATATATATATATATATATATATATATCTTAAAGTAAGGAAACCCTAATATTCACATAATTAATTTTAAAGCTAAATTGTAAAACACACTACTTACCACTTTGACGCCTTAAAAGTGAATTCCTTGGAGGACCTACAATGAATAAAAGAAGAACAGGATAAGTCAATGAATCTATGAATACAAAAAGAAAACAGAGAAACAATAAAATTGTTACAAAATTCCCTTACAAAACTGCACAGTGGATTACGTCATATGTGTTAATCCTGTTAGTACTACTTATCACACCATCTTTTAAATGGTACCTATTTTTCGCATAATGAATAACAACTTATAATAAGTAGTTAGTTATTTATTTTTAAATGGCGAATTATTCAAATTTACAGTAAAAAATGAAACGAGATTTAACTCGTAGATATTGTTTTAATTGCGTTACTAGTGAGCAATGCTGATGAGTCCCATATCAGGACGAAACGGCCGTCCAGTGCTTCCAGGTTACTAGTGGTAGTCACACTTCGATCGATTCATGATCTCAAATTGTTTTCATTCTCAATCAGATGAAAAGTTGAAAATTTTCTAAACTTTCAACAGTTCTTCAAGAAAAAAACATTTACATAATCAGACAATGAGGATATTATCTGATTTTAGAGATAGATAAAGTTAATTCTTTTCCATCGAATGCGAAATCTCCGAAAGTAAGGATGCATTTGAATGAATAATTTTGTCTGAGTCTACGACTATGCATCAATATGTGATTTTTAATTCAACAGGTCTTGAAGTGAGCACAGGTCATCTAAACGTTTGAGTGCACATTTGCAGTTTGGATTAACTGATGCTAATTCATGATTATTACCTATTTTTATAGGTGATTTCTGTTTAGTTACCAACCCTAGTTGGATCTTAATAATTATACCTTCTCACTTGAAATATTTCCTCAAGATAGCTACTAGTGAGCACATGAGTACTTCAAGTTTTGAGGGGATTTATATGATGTTTGATTTAAAGTGTAGACGGACTTCGACTGGAGCGCTTCTAAGGTTACTGCCGGTCTCAAGGCCGGATAAAGAATGAGGGTAGAGCATGGTTTAACTCCCCCAATCCTGTAGCAAACTAACCTGCTAGAAAAACACTTACCAATGTGCAGTCTCAAACTGGCTGGTACTATCTGTGTAAAAGATATTAAACCAAGTTCAATTCTGCTATATAGATAAACGTTCTTCGAACTAACATATCTTACTAAATATATTACATGTAAGATCCATTTTTGGGAAAATCCCTCCATGTATACATTTGTATTATGTGTACATTTTGTTAATCTGTTTAATTCCACTTAGAGATGATAATACTTGTATTTTATTATTTTTTCTAATTATTCTACTAACAATTCTACCAAAGGCTGCAGTCAATCGTCGATAAATGTTCGCCAAAGGATTTGACCATTCTTATGGGAGACCTGAATGCCAAGGTTGGAATGGACAACACTGGATATGAAGACATCATGGGACGACATGGACTGGGAGAAAGAAACGAAAACGGTGAGAGATTTGCAAACCTATGTGCCTTCAACAAGCTGGTCATCGGTGGCACAATATTCCCGCACAAACGCATTCACAAAGCCACATGGATTTCACCGGATCACACTACTCAAAACCAGATTGATCATATCTGTATCAACAAAACGTTCAGAAGGACTATGGAGGATGTGAGAACCAGGAGAGGAGATGATGTAGCCTCAGATCACCATTTGCTAATCGCCAAAATGAAACTGAAACTAAAGAAGCACTGGACAACGGGACAGACAACATCACACAAGTTTAATACGGCCTTTCTTCGGGATACTGTAAAGCTCAACGAATTCAAGATAGCCCTCACCAATAGGTTCCAGGCCTTAAAGGATCTACACAATGGAGAGGACACAACATTGGAGAACAATTGGAAAGGGATTAAGGAGGCAATCACTTCAACATGTCAGGAGGTCCTTGGTCGCAAGAAGCAGCATCATAAGGAATGGATCTCTGTTGATACTCTCGCAAAAATTGAAGAAAGGAGGAACAAGAAAGCAGCAATCAATGTCAGCCGAACAAGAGCGGAGAAAGTTACCGCACAAGCTGCATACACAGAAGCAAACAGGGAAGTGAAGAAGAGCATCAGAGCTGACAAACGAAAATACGTGGAAGATCTAGCAACGACGGCGGAAAAGGCTGCAAGAGACGGAAACTTGAGACAATTGTATGAAACTACAAAGAAGCTCGCCGGGAACTATCGTAAACCAGAACGACCAGTGAAAAACAAGGAAGGCAAAGTAATCAGCAACACTGAACAACAGCGAAATAGGTGGGTAGAGCACTTTAAGGAACTCCTAAATCGACCAGCTCCTCTGAAGACACCCAACATCGAAGCAGCATCCACGGACCTCCCAATTAATATTGGCGCACCTACGATTGAGGAGATCAGTATGGCCATCAGACAAATCAAGAACGGCAAAGCAGCAGGACCAGACAACATTCCAGCAGAGGCAATGAAAGCAGATGTAGAAGCAACCGCGAAAATATTTCACATCCTCTTCAAGAAGATTTGGGATGAGGAACAAGTACCATCAGACTGGAAGGAAGGATACCTGATCAAAATACCAAAGAAAGGCGACCTCAGCAAGTGTGAGAACTACAGAGGCATCACTCTTCTTTCAATACCAGGCAAAGTCTTCAACAGGGTATTGTTAAACAGAATGAAGGACTTCGTAGATTCCCAACTTCGAGATCAACAGGCCGGATTTCGGAAGGATCGATCGTGTACTGACCAAATTGCTACATTACGGATCATTGTGGAACAATCAATTGAATGGAACTCACCACTCTACATCAACTTCATCGACTACGAGAAAGCATTCGATAGCGTGGATAGGAAAACACTGTGGAGGCTTCTTCGACACTACGGTGTGCCTGAGAAAATAGTTAACATCATACGGAACTCTTATGATGGATTCAACTGCAAAATCGTGCACGGAGGACAGCTAACCGACTCTTTCGAGGTAAAGACCGGTGTCAGGCAAGGTTGCTTACTTTCACCCTTCCTCTTTCTCCTGGTGATCGACTGGATTATGAAAACGTCAACAGCTGGAGGGAAGCACGGCATCAACTGGACAGTTAGGACGCAGCTGGACGATCTGGACTTCGCAGATGATCTGGCTCTTCTATCGCACACTCCACAACAAATGCAAGAGAAGACGACGAGTGTAGCAGCAGCCTCTGCAGCAGTAGGTCTCAACATACATAAAGGAAAGAGCAAAATTCTCCGATGCAACACAACATGCACCAATCAAATCACTCTTGATGGAGATGCCTTGGAGGACGTTAACACCTTTACATATCTTGGCAGCATCATCGACAATCAAGGTGGATCGGATGCAGATGTGAGGGCACGGATTGGCAAAGCAAGGGCTGCATTTCTACAGTTGAAAAATATCTGGAACTCCAAACAGATATCAATCAACACCAAAATAAGGATTTTCAATACAAATGTCAAGACAGTTCTAATGTATGGAGCGGAAACATGGAGAACTACCAAAGCCATCATCCAGAGGATACAAGTGTTTATTAACAGCTGTCTACGTAAAATACTTCGTATTCGTTGGCCAGACACGATCAGCAACAACGAACTGTGGGAGAGAACAAGTCAGATTCCAGTGGAAGAGGAAATCAGGAAGAAGCGGTGGAAGTGGATAGGACACACTCTACGAAAAGCACCTAACTGCGTCACGAGACAAGCCCTCACATGGAACCCTCAAGGCAAAAGGAAAAGAGGAAGGCCAAAGAATACATTACGCCGTGAAATAGAGAAAGATATGAGAGGAATGAACAAACATTGGACAGAACTGGAGGAAGAAGCCCAGGACAGAGTTGGTTGGAGAAAACTGGTGGGCGGCCTATGCTCCATTGGGGGTAACAGGCGAAAGTAAGTAAGTAAGTAAGTTTTCATGTTTTTTTCTGAACTGTATTTATGTTGTTCAAGCTGATACTTAATCATGGCGACAGCCATATTGATTTGTTCCTCTTTTGATTGTGTCAGTTGCTTGCTTTGACTGGAATTGTGCATTTTGATTATGAACTGAAGCACTCTTGCACAATAGGAAACACTGTGTTATAAGGCAACCAAATATTATCTGTCGAACGGATCTATTCTATCCAGGGGGGGATAGAATATCAGTTATCTGCGGATTTGAACAATTGTTGGTGGAATAACTGACTGGTAATATTTGTTTAAATAATGATGTACATTTATATTTATGATGAATATTAGAACCGTCATTTACCCAAATCACCTTGTTTCATTTTTAAACTGGGCAACAGCGCGTATCTAAACTACCTAAACAGTAGTTATTCCCCCAGTCCATCAAACCTCAGTTTGAATCCTTCAAATACATGTTATGTCCAATTTCAAATACATAAAGAACAGTTTAAACTGTGTTAGATACTCTAAAGAAAAATTATTCATATAACTCATTTACAAAAACCAAAGCTTTTTATATTCAATTTCCAACCTTACACTGAAACATAAGGCCTTATGATCCAATGCAAAACTGTCCGTAACATTTCATCAATGGGAAAATTATTGGTGTTAAATTCATTATTTGATATATCAGGCTTTCCTATTATTGAAATGTTTTTATTAACAGATATGATAATATTGGTTATTTGAGAATTTCCCTGTACAATAAAATGGTTCTCCGTTATTGCCAAAATGTGAATAAAACATAACATAACATAACATGAACGTGGACACTAAATTTAGGCATTTTCACATTTTATTCTTTTCTTATCAGCTGGGTACAGCTGATTGTAATTTTTTACAACGCATATAAATGTTTCATTGTTTTTCTTGCAAAAAAGCAATAAATGAATTTCGAAACAAATGTAAACATAATTAAAGAGGATACAATGTTACAAATTAACAATTATTATTTGATTCAAAGAAGAAAGGAGTGTAATAAAATGTAAAAAAATCGATCGATTCAAACATATGGTCTATTATGGAAATGGAACGGGTGTATTAAATCTGTTTGTTTGTTTGTTTCGCTACCTGTATAAAACATAAGAAAAAACATTTGTGGAATTTATTGTTTGACCATGAATCAATTG